TCCCTTTGTCCAGATTTCTGGCTTGAGCGTCAGAGAAGCTTCTGCCGGATCAACCCCTGCATGGTTTCACGTGCCTTAGTTTTGCAAGTTTGTGACTCACCTGTTGCATCCCTATGAAGTTGAATCACCTACTCGCGTGCAATGATCTATCTGGAGAGGCTTTTGTTGAATCAACCCCAACTTAATTCACGTGCCTTATTTTTCCATATTTGTGACTCATGTATAGCATTCCTACAAGGTCGAATCACATACCTGCTTCCAGTGACCACCCATGCATTCTCGTTTACTCTGCATTAAGTGAGTGATACAACATCATATATATATATATATATTTAGCTGGTATATTTATATTTTTTACACGTAAACAAAGGTGATAGAACCAACCATGTATATTTAAACACAGCTTAGAAAATAAACCTTAATATATATAATTTGAAAAGTACAGTAGATACAATCTTCCCCGAATTTTTTTAGAAATTGGAAGGCATGAACGGAATGGTATGGTAGATGGTATTTAGACACTAAACGAAGGGTTTACTAAAGATTGAACAAAATTAAAATTACTAGTTGAAGGGCATCTCCAATCATACAAGATTTCACCTACTATCAGCTAAAAAATGACGGTTATAGCAGTTTATAGACAAAGAAACTTACTCCAACAGGACATGCATATTTTAGCTGGCAAGCTAAGTTCTTATTCCCAGCCAGGGGCGGATTCTCAGTATGGGAAGGGGGGGCTGTTGCCCCCCCCAAGAATTTGGAAAAAAAATATTACTTATATATACATATATATAATTACACTATAAGTATTTAATATAAATTATATATTAATACAAAAGGAAGGAAGATAAAGGAATAAAGTTATCAGGCCACTGCCGAGAAAAAGTAAAATTGGAAAATTTTATTAATTAGTAAATAATATATAATAATATCTTAATTGCATTATAATTCGAGAAAGAGTTTTAAAACAAATAAAATTTTATTAAAATAGGAATTGGTTTAACAATAGGTTTCTTCCCTTTTAATTCTCTCATCTCCGTATCTTCTTCACACGTTCTTCACCTCGTTCCATTGAAGAAAAATCTCACGGTAATTATCAAACTTCTTCATCTCTTTTTATCTTTTTTATTTTATTATTTCTTATTCTTTAATTATATGTAAGAATTTTATTGAAGCATAGATGATTTTATTTATAAAATTTATTTAAAGGGCTTTTATTTTTTACTATATTGAATTCTTTGAAATTTATTGTAGGTCGATTGTTCTAATGTCTTCGAATCAACCCAAACGATTGAAAAATAATACGATTCACGCCTTTTTCCAAAGTAATAAAAAAGAATCATCAACATCTAATGTTGATAGTTCTTCTCTCGATCATGAACAAGAACGTCCTGAACCGGCTATTCACTACACCAAAAAGGCCATTTTCTAACGAATATATCCGTTAGAAATAATTTTCCTAACGGCGAAAAACCGTGAGAAATACTGCGTTAGAAATTGAAGGCTCTAATTTTCTAACACATATAACCGTTAGCAAAATTAAAAAAGTCCGTTAGAAAAATAAATATTCTAACGGTTATATCCGTTAGAAATATTGTTCCAACGGTTCTTCCTGTAACACTAATAATTAAATTTCTAACGGACAATGCCGTTAGAAAAATTAAAAGATTATGAAAATAATTATTTTTATGATTTTTTAATTTTCACCTGATTTAAAATTTATAAATACTAATAATATAAATCATAAATAAAATAATACCCACAGAGAATAAACTCAAATTATTTTATTAGAATAAACATTTAGTACAAAATATATTTCTCCATCATTTACACACAAAAATCAAACCAAAGTACAAAAAATATCCATTACTATCAACTATTACAATATTTTTTCACTGCATCCTATCTTTCATATACATTAACATATATACATTAACATAAGTATCTAAAAGATCCATTGTACCCAAACCTTTTATAATGCCAAGAATGCTCTTGCATGCATGAGTAATAAGTTCATTATCATCATCTTCAGATAGTGTCTTCATATAAATATTCATCACATCTGCCAACATAAAAGTACGTAGTATCCATCAGTCTTTAGTAGAATTGAAATATAAAACACATATCCAAAAGATTAATTAAGGTGGTAACTATGACTCACATCAACGATTCTGAAAGATCTGCTTGTATAGTTCTCTTCTCTGAAACTCAGAGTTATTTCGTTCCACATCGGAAAAAAATATGTTGTCTTCTTGTCCTTATTAGATCGAATCTATAAAGGCCAGTGAATTTCAATTAACAGGTATATAATTTAAAATAAGAGATAATTGTGAAAACTATAATGATCGAAACCTCTGCAGATATTCGGGGCAAAAGAAACATAAACAACCAAACCGGAGAGCTTATTTGGAGACAAGTAAATTAAAAATGTATTATGAATAAAGAAGGCGACCCCTATTACTAAAGAAAGTCTTAATGGTTTGTGCGAATTCAGAAGGAGTTTTTCCAACTAAATGCATATGTAATTGGCAACACAATCACCTGTAGATACAGAAACAAACTTTAGTATGTATCCAGCTTTACATGCACTTACATGCTCTTTCTTGCTTTCCAGCTCATGACAATATCGAGAACTGCTGCATAACAATTTTGAACATTTAAAATACATAAAATATTTGAGAATCAAACAGAATGTAAGAAGATTAACATATTTTATCTTGTTACCTTGTACGAATTTTAATGCGGCTACTATGATGAAAATGCTTGATAGTTCATGGAATACATTTCCATCAATTGTACCTCTTAAATCACCAGATCAATTCCAAGCAACTATGATCAGAATAAAATAAATTGAAACCGAGATGATTTGCTACGTTAGAGAATAAGATAATTAAAATATAAGGACGAATAACAATTGATGTTTACCTAAAGGTACAATATAAGAAAGCTCCGCATTATGTCATTTCTTATAAATATATACCAATATGAACGTGTCTCAACAAAATTGAATTTTCCAATCCATCGATCTCCTGTAACAGATTTATTAAAAAACATTGTATAGTTATCAAAGTATCTGCTATATCTCAAATTAACTCAGAAGAAAGATGGAAAATTTCTTAACAAATAGTAGACAGTTTAATACAATCACATGAGCATTGAAATAAGAACATATCCAATAAAAAACAAGATCTACTAAGTTTGAGAGACAAAGGGGTATAAAATCCCTGAAGAAGCTAAGTTTCATTTATGCAGATCACAAGCATGTAACCAGTGCTTGTGTGTGTATCTATATGTGTGCGTGTTTTATGTATGCAGACTAGTAAAACTAGGGCAGTAAACCAAGCAAAGAAACTAAGACAGTGTTCCTCACTCTCTCAATCCAAAATCAAATGACACTAATATAGTAATATGCACCTGCACTTAAAGTTAGGAGTCCATCTGCCCTTTCAAACTATTACCATGCCCTTTAAAACTATTACTATGCTCTTCATCTCTCATTTTCAAGTCAAGAGTCCATCTGCCCTTTCAAACTATTACCATGCGAAGCCATTAAACTAGAAATGCTTAACTGTAAAATACTTCTATCCTATATTAATAAGCGGGCAATCTAAATGCAATGTAAAATCCCTAATTCCAGAATTAATTATCTTTCTATTCCAAAATTCATAAAACACACATAATGGTATCCATAAAAAAATCAGAATCCAAAAAGAGTATACTTTAGGAGGTTAGCAATCAACCTTTTATCATATTAGTGAATATCATATCATTCTCACATTCAAGATAAAGTAACAAAAAAAAAATTGGGGACAACTAAAATCAATTCTCGAAGAAAATACAAATTAAAATCGGATATTTCTTGTGTCGCTCAAATTGCTTCCATCGTTGACACCAACATCCGCAATGGAATTCGAGAGGGATTAAGTGTCGTGGTTGACGGTTCGCGAGAAAATGAAAACCCTAGATTCTAAATCCTAAATGATGTACAAATCAAGGTGTGGGGGAACATACCTCTTCGGTGGTTGTGGTGTTGCCATTACAGATTTGTGGCGCCTTTCTCCTCTTCTCGCCGTTTCTCCATTTTCAATCTAACTCAGAACTGCTTTCTCTATCGTGCACACACTCTACTGTTGAAAATTCACTCTATTATCACATTTTTATTTAATATTTAATGGAAGAGCAGAGGAATGCTCTTTACATTCTTAATTAAATTGACCCATTAATAATTTTAATATATATATATATATATATATATATATATATATATATATATTAATATATATATATATATATATATTTATATATAATATTTAGAATATAAGTCCGGTTAAAGTTGTAGCTAACACTTAAATACCGTTACAAATACATTTTCAATTAAAAATATATATTTATTATTAATAGTAACATATAAATTGAAATTCTAACGGGCAACTATCGTTAAAAATTGCCAATGGTCTATATCCGTTACAAACAATAAATTTATGCCGTTAGAAAATCTTCATTTTGGTGTAGTGATTACAACAGCTATTACAACAGTTGGGGTTATGCTTAATGAAGAATTTGATATCAATTCTTTGGAACGTGATCCGGGAAAAAGACCTCAAATTTGGATGTATCCTGTCGAAAAACAGGACGAAATTCGCCGTACTTATATCAAGTTAGGGCCATATCAATTTTATTTACCTGAATATCCTTACTCAGGTAATGAAGGCAATCGTCGACGATTTCAGTATGCATGGTTTTCCAAATTTCCGACTTGGTTAGAGTATTCTCCGACTAAAGATGCTGCTTATTGTTTGCCATGCTTTATTTTTGCTAGTGAGACAAATGTACGTTTTGGCGCGAATACATTTATGGTGGAAGGATTTCGAAATTGGAAGAAAGTAAATGAAGGAAAAAATTGTGCTTTTTTACGCCATATTGGAGGCCATAATTCCCAGCATTGTGTTTCTTTAAAATCATGCGAGGATCTAATGAATCAATCTGCGCATATTGACAAGGTCATGCAAAGACAGTCATCGGTAGAAATATTGAATAATCGTTTGAGGCTTAAAACCTCAATTGACTGTGTTCGTTGGCTTGCATATCAATCATGTTCTTTTCGAGGCCATGATGAAGGCCCAACGTCAAAAAATTCAGGTAATTTTCGCGAGATGGTGAAGCTTTTGGCAAATTATAATGAAAAAATAGCTGCAACTGTTTTAGATAAAGCTCCTCCCACTGCCAAGTACATCTCTCCGACAATTCAAAAGGAGATATTGCATATTATTGCTTCTAAGGTGAGAAATAAAATTCGAGAAGATATTGGTGACTCTAAGTTTTGTATTCTTGTTGATGAGGCACGAGACGAATCCAAAAAGGAACAAATGGCTCTTGTTTTAAGATTTGTTGATAAAATAGGTGTTCTCCAAGAACGTTTCTTTGATATCGTAAGCGTCAAAGACACAACTTCGTTGACTCTTAAACATGAACTTTCAACAATTTTTTCTCATCATGCTTTAAGTATTGATAATCTTCGAGGGCAGGGTTATGACGGTGCAAGCAATATGCGTGGCGAATGGAACGGATTACAAGCATTATTTTTGAAAGATTGTCCGTATGCATATTACGTACATTGTTTTGCTCATCGACTTCAGTTGGCATTAGTGGCGGCATCAAGAGAGGTAATTCTTGTTCATCAATTTTTTTCAAAGTTGGACACCATTGTAAATATTGTGGGCGCTTCTTGTAAGAGAACCGGTGAGTTAATTACTGCACAACAAGCTGAAATTTCTCGTTTGATATCTATTAATGAATTTGAAACTGGTAGTGGAGCTAATCAAATTGGCAATTTACAACGAGCTGGAAATACTCGTTGGGGTTCCCACTTTTCTTCTGTGTGTAGCTTGAAGAAAATGTTTAGTGCTACTGGGAGTGTGCTTCAAACCATTATATCTGATGGAGCAAATTATTCCCAACGCGGTGACGCTGATTCTGCTTATACTGCCATGACATCTTTTCAGTTTGTTTTTATCTTACTCTTGATGGAAAGGATAATGGGAGTTACTGATGTTCTTTGTCAAGCTTTGCAACAACGATCCCAAGACATATTGAATGCTATGCATTTAGTCTCAACAACAAAACAACTTCTTCAAAATTTGAGGGATGATGGGTGGAATAGTTTTTTAAATGATGTTAATTTATTTTGCCAAAGTAATGAAGTTGAGATGCCTGATATGAATTCTACTCATAAAGTAGGTCGGGGGAAGTCGATTCACCAGCCACGAGATACTAATATCACGATGGAGCATCATTTTCATTTTGATATATTTGTGACTACCATAGACACACAGATGAAAGAGTTAAATTGCAGATTTAATGAGCAAACAATGGAACTTTTAACTCTTAGTTGTGCTTTGGACCCAAGTGATTCATTCAAGTCCTTTAAAGTAGATGATATTTGCACTCTTGTTGAGAAATATTATCCTGCAGATTTCACAGAACAAGATAGGCTCCTCCTGAAGTTTCAATTGCAGCATTATCATCTTGACATGACTAAGCATCAAGACCTATGTCATTTGTCTACTCTTGCAGCACTATGCGAAGGATTAACAAAGACGGGAAAATCCAAAGTATATTATCTAGTTGATAGGTTGATTCGTTTGATCTTACTTCTTCCGGTGTCTACTGCTACCACAGAACGAGCTTTTTCTGTTATGAAGCTTACCAAAACTAGAATTCGGAACAAAATGGAAGATGGGTTCCTTGGAGATTGCATGCTTCTACATATTGAAAGGGAAATTGCTGATCTTTTTAGTACAGATTCCATAATAGATGAATTCTATTCGAAGAAAAAACGTAGAGCACAACTTAAATGATGTATTATTTTGGACGTATTTATTTGAAGATTTGGTTTATTGTCAAAAAAAAAAATTAAACCACATTTATTTATTTATTTATTTTTATATTGTTTATATTTTCATTATTTTTATCATACGTTCAGCCCCCCCACCTAAATGTCTCACGGTCCGCCCCTGTTCCCAGCTGCTATGTATTGCAGGTAACTATTCACAAAAGCTAAACAAGAAATATTAAAGTAATCGCACTAGGTTTTAGTGTTCAAGTTCTTTTCCTTCTGTTATATAATAAAATAATAATAGTACATATATATGATAATAAAATAATCAAAACAAAGGTAACAAAAGATCTTGTGTTTCTTCTTTTGCTACCTTTGTTTTGAAGATGATGCGGTATAACGCATTTCTTCTTCTCCTATGACAACGACATTGTACCAATTTTTCGGTTTGTCTGTGGCATTTGCAATGCTTAAGCGTACGTTTCAACAAATTTTTGTAAGTTCGGATCTGCAAGATGAAGATACATGATTTCTAAGACTCGTTTCTTTATTTTTTTGAACGACTATGGTATGTAAGTCAGTCCAAGGTTCAGTTGTTTTCTTAAGTCTGTTATGTAATGGTTTTTCTATTCTATTGTTTTTTGGGCAAAAGTATACGACATAGTTTCATACGAGATAGATTGATTAATTGTGTACCTTAATCGCTTTTGATTGAGCGAGCATACATATACATTTAATTTGAAATTAAATAATATTGCTTAAATCAAACATATGAGAATGCTTCAAAAGGTTGCACACTCAATTAATCGAACAAACAAACATGCTACGGAATTCGAAACTAATTAACATAAGATATCGATTTCGAATCAAACAAACACATGAATATAATTGCGTAATCAAATTAATGATCATAGCTACGGGGTTCGAATCTTACATTTGAAGCGTAATCTTCTCCAACGACGAGGCGTAGGAAAACAGCGGCATCGACACATGGTCGACGGCAAGTGTTCGTCCTCGTCTCCAATCAGGTTTCACCATGTGCAATTCAATCCACCTCTTCCACATCACTAGATATAGAAATTTGTACAACGAAAGGAAAAGAATGAGAAAAAGAAACGAAGAAGAGTGGTGGCGGCTTGGCGCGGTGGCGAGCATCGTGGCGCGGCGGTGGTGCAGCAGCTGATTGGAGGGGGCAGACGACTAGGATTTTGAAGGGAGTTGAACTCATATTAATTTTCTATTTATACCAGGGTTCTCAATGATAGTGAGCTTAACTTTTGGACCCGGGTCCATTAAGCAGTCAGGCTCATCCCCTCGTATGCTTTGTTTCTAACAAACGATCACTCATAAAAATATAGCAATTATATATTTGTGACAAGCATAATATTCTCTTCTAAACAAGTGCCGATTGAAATTTTCTAATTTCCAATTTAGTGCCTGCTAAATTGGGCAACTTTCCCAATTTAGAAAGTTTAGAAAGTTTTCGCAGATATCTTTCTCTCTGTTTATTATAATCCGTAATTAACAATTACAAACTTTAGATCCAGTCTCTTGAAAGTTAGACTTTCATGAGACCAGAATCTCCTAAGAATATACAAAAACCTAAAGTGGATTTTCTTGTATCTATACATAACTCCCAATCAACATCAGAGAAAGCTTTAACCTTGTGGAAGGATCTGTGGAATAGAACAATCCCTGGCCTGGAGCAGCATTCAAATATCTCAATAAATGATGGACAACTTGGATATAAGGAGTTCTTGGCTGGAAAAAAAATTGGCTCAACTTACGTGTGGCATAGGTTATGTTAGACCTAGGGATGGTGAGGTATAAGAGTTTCCCAATTAGTCTTCTGTAGCTTGTAGAATTCGGAATAATATCTCCATCTTTACCATTAAGAGTGGCCTTTGGATTCATGGGCAAAAGAACTGGTTTGGAACCTAAAAAACCTATATATTCAGAAGCTTGAGAGTATACTGTCTTTAAGAAAGAATAATACCCAAGGTATTTCTAGAAATTTCCAACCCAAGAAAGTATTTGATTTACAAGATCTTTGAGCTTAAAAACCAAATGCAACTAAGCTTTAATAGATGCATTCTGACTAGGAGTAAGACCAGCAATTATCATGTTATCAAAATAGAGAATATGAGCTAAAAAATAATACCCGAACCTCTTGTGAAAAGAGAATACTCAGATTTATACTGAGTGCAACCAAGAGCTATAATAGCTTCTGTAAGTTTCTTGTTCCATTGCCTTGAATCCTGTTTTACGCCATATGGACTTCTCTAACACTAGTTTGTTTCCATTAGAAGATGGAATTTTGGATTCATAGCCTTGAGACAGATCCATATAAACTTCTTCATGTAAATCTCCATTTAGAAAATCATTGTTCACATCTAATTGACATAACTCCCATTTATATTTAGCATATAAGGTAAGACAATCTTGACATATAACAAGCTTAGCTATATTTGAAAAAGTGTCAATATAATTCACCCCTTCTTGCTGGATAAATCATGTGGCCACTAACTTGGCTTCATACCTATTAATGGTACCATCATATTTTCTTTTAAGCTTGTATAACAATTTACAACTGATAGAATATTTGTTGGCTGACAAAGAGACAACTTGCCAGGTGTTATTAGTTTCTAGTGCTTGAAGTTCTTCAGACATAGCTTGTGATTTGGGCTGATTTGCCCAAGCCCAAGTAATGCCTCAAACGGGCCCAAAAGCCCACCTCTCTCCCCAGCCCAAACTTTACCAACCAGATCCATATGTAATAAAGCCCATCAGACCCCACTAGCCCCCCTTCTCTCTCTCGGTTTCTCTCTCTAGATGGTACACAAACCAAGGAGATTAGGAGAGGAAAAAAGAGAGAAGAAGCCACTCTCTGTCAAAAAAAAAAACTCTGAAAAAACCACAAAAAAGACTAAACAGATGAATATAAGGAAAACACACACACACAACACTGTATACATATACATGAGAAACAATGCACACAAAAATACATACAAATACGCGAAATACTATGAGGAGGTCCAAATGGACCTTATCAGCTTGAATCCATGAAGAATTTTAAGTAGCTTGTCTATATAAAAAATGTTTTGTTTTAGTAGAGATGTTTAAGGTATAAGCAAGGAAAGAAACAGAAAGAGCTTTATAGCCAATGACACTGGAGATAGGACATCTAACTGTGGAAGTAGTCTTAAAATCAGAAAAGTAACATGAAGTTTGACTTGTCTGGTATACTTTCTGATTTGTGTGGGTAGAGATGGAGTGATTGTAGTAGTTGAGGTAGGAACATGAGGAATCTCATAAGGGGAAGTATCCAAAGGAACATGTATATCCAAAAGAACAAGGATAGAACAATGGCCAAAAGAAGGAAGGACATAGTAGTATCACTGTGAAACTGCGAAGATGTAAAAGGAAAAACGTCTTCATGTAAAATAACAGCTCTAGAGATGAAAACTTCTTGTGTATTCAAATCCAATAATTTGTACCCTTTTATACCAGTTGGATAGCAAAGAAAAATACAAGACCTGACTCTAGGATCAAACTTTGACCTGTCAGTAGAGAGAGTACTAGCAAAAGATAGACAACGAAACACTTTAAAATATGATAATCCACAAAAGTTGTAGTATAAAGCAAAGAAAAATGAGTATTATTATTTAAATTGTGAACAAGAACTCTATTGAGCAAGAAAATTGTTGTCAGCACACATCCATTCCAAAATATAATCGGAACTTGTGACTAAAATAATAATGCTTTAGCAACATTTAAAATATGCTGATGTTTTCTTTCCACAACTGAGTTCTGTTGTGGAGTTTGAACACATAACAACTGATGTAAAACCCCAGTTTTAGCAAAGAAGTTTTTGAAAGATAATTCATTAGCATTATCAAATCTTACGACATTAATAATCTTACCAATTTGAATCTGAACCCAGGCAAAAAACTCAGGAATAATAATAAGAACATCAGACTTATATCTCAGCAAATAAATCTATGTAATCTTTGAAAATCATCAACAATTGTGACAAAATATTTGAAACAATAATAAGAAGCAACTTTATAAGACCTCCATATATCACAATGTATCAAATCAAAAGGTACAGAAGATGGTGCTTACAAGAAATATTAATTTTTTGAATTTTGCTAAAGAACAAATATGACAACATGTTGAATTCGAAACAGTAGACAGAGGAATTTTGTCTTTCAAAATAGCTAATTTTCTGAAAAGGAATGTGACCAAGTCTATTGGCCAAGTTTGATTGGACATTGTCACTTTATTACCAAAAAAACGTCTGTAGACGAAGATTGTACAGAAAAATCAGGCTCCAACACATATAAACCTTGTAACTTTCCACCCATACCAATCACTTTCATCAACTTGTCCTATATAACAAAATATTGATAGCCAAAAGTGACAAATTCATGAGTTGTAGTTGAAAGTGCTCTAACAAATAACAAATTGAAGTGAAATTGAGGTACATAAAAAATATATGTAAGCAAAGAGAAGATGATAATTTCACATTCCACATAAGCAACATTCAAGGAAGACTTATCTGGCAAAATTACTTTAGTGTTAATAATAAGATGTGTAAACAGGGACTTATTGTTGCAAATGTGTTGAAGCACCTAAATCAACTAATCCAATGATAATGCATAACCATGGGATTACTTAAAGCATTAATGTAAGTTGTACATGTAACACATGAAATGTGTGAAACATCTTGTGATGAGGGAAGAGTTGTGATACGAACCCCGTAGAACTTGTTACGAGACACAAATATCTTATGTGGAAGTAAGAACGGAACGTCAAAAAACAAAGGATTCGATTGGCGGAATTCGGAATATTGACCAATATAATCAAGGTGGAAGTATAAATCCCGTGATTTTATAAAGAATCAGAAACCAATACTATATTGCTAAGAATAATTCACAAAAATCCACTCGCAAAATATCCCCACGGAGTTAAATGCAAAAACCCCCCGTGTTAATCCTAAAGACCAAAAAACCCCCTAGGATTAAAAAAGTGACAAAAATTCCCCTGTAATCAGTAGTCAAAGACATATATCCCCCTAACCTTTGTGCATGTCATTCACTCGTTGTGTGTGCGACTTTTGTACATTTTGTGTGTGAAAGGACAATGTTGCCCCTCTAAATCAACACTCATGAA